GTGACATAATCTTTTGATCATATGAATGACTCTGTTTATTTAGAGTGTACAAGAATCTTGATATTTGATAAGGAATCTCGTAATTGAAATGCAAATTCTCTATATCTCTAGCTCTTCTTTTTTTAATGTTACATGAATATTTTTTTAATACTTTTCTTACACTTTCCTTAGATTCAGGTAGTACTTCGATACGATTATATGTTAAGGTTTTTTAATTTAGGTATAACATTATTTGTTGATTTCATCATTATAGTCCATAAAATTTTTAAAATTCATGAACTTTGCTAGTGTTTATCAATTTTCTTTGGGTATTAAAACTTGACCTTTTTCTATACTGAAGAGCAATTTAATAATTAATAATATATTAAAGTAACCAAACTGATCATTGACCACTTAAAGTAATATTTCTTTTGAAAAAAATTACTATTGACCACGTAAAACTTTCCTAGTTCGTTGTTAATTAAGTAAAAGAAAAACTAATCTTGTCATACTACATGCATATCAAAAACATAAATTCTAGTTGATATGGAAGGATAAATGAGAATTCTAAGGGTGGGAAATGTGGATTATAATTAATATTTTTTTAGTTTTTACTTTTTTAAATATTTAAATATGAATTTAATTAATTTTTGGCCCACGGGCCAGTCCAGACCCAGCCTCGGTCAAGCCTCAAGGGCCAGCGAGCTGACTTGGGCCGGGCTTATAAGCCTTAATTTTAAATGGGCTAAAACAATCCAAACCAGGCCTACCCAAGTAGCGGGCTGGGTTGGGCTGGCCTCATGGGCCAAACCCATTTTGACGGCTCGAAGCCTCTCTAGCCCAGAGTAAGGGTAAGGTGTGCGTATACACTACCCTCCCAGACCCCGCTAAGTGAGATTATACTGGATTGTTGTTGTTGTTTAAAATGATTTTTTAAAAATTCAATGTCAAACCAAACTAAAGGATAAATGTTATAAAATAAAAACTGTAAAGTAAAGACAAGTATAGAGAGAAACTGATATATTATTCGAATTCAAACTGATGTACATAATGAACTGAAATCTCTTCTATTTATAGAAGAAAGGAAGCTGCTGTGTAAGTTGCTACTATACCAGATATGGATAATCTTCTACTGAGAGCAATGTTTATCCATAACGGAGTACTGAAAGGATAAGCTTATTATACCCGATATGTATAATCTTCTACCGGGGGTAATGTTTATCCATAACTGGGTACTGAAAGGATAAGCTTATTATACCTGGTATGGATAATCTTCTACCGGGGGTAATGTTTATCCATAACTGGGTACTGAAAGGATAAACTTATTATATATGGTATGGATAATCTTCTACCGGGGGTAATATTTATCCATAACCGGGTACCGAAGTGATAAGCTTCTTCAGGAAGCTTATTTCCAATAGAGTACTAAATAGATAAACATATTTACGGGGAGTCCCATATGGATAAGCTTCTTCAAGAAGCTTATTTAAACAGAGTACTAAATGAACATCCATAATATAATATATTTATAACACTCCCCCTTGGATGTTCATTAAAAGATAATGTGCCTCATTAAAACCTTACTAGAAAAAACCACGTGGGAAAAAATCTCAGTGAAAGAAAAAGAGTACACATATTTAGTAAGACGCATTGCTAGGTGCCTCATTAAAAACCTTATAAGGAAAAC